ATAGAATAGTGACATAGTGACCCACTGAGTGGCAATGACACAGTGATATCAGTAGCCCACAGAATGACACAGTGACATAGTAACTCATTAAGTGACACAGTAATCCATGGAGTGACAGAGTGACGCAGTGGCTCACCAAGTGACAGTGACAGTGATATTTGTAACCCACTGAGTGACACAGTGACATTAGTAACCCACCAAGTGACAGAGCGACACCGGGACATGGTAGACCACTGAGTGACACAGGGACATAATTAGTGACAGAGTGACACAGTAAAAACCCTCTGAGTGAGAAGAGTGACATTAATTAGTGACCAACCAAAAGTGACAGAGTGACACAGTGACATGGTAAACCCACCAAAAGTGACAGGGTGACAGAGTGATATCAATTTTAGTGACCCACCAAAAGTGACAGAATGACACAGTGACATGGTAAACCCACTAAAAGTGACAGAGTGGCACAGTGACATGGTAAACCCTCCAAAAGTGACAGAGTGGCACAGTGACATGGTAAACCCACCAAAAGTGACAGACTGACACAGTGTCAAGGTGCAGAGAAGAAAAAACAAAAAGTAAGATAGACCCACAAAAAGAGCTGGTAAACCCAGCAAGAGTGACAGATTGACATAGTGGCATTAGTGACAAACCAAAAGTGACAGAGTGACATGGTAAACCCTCCAAAAGTGACAGAGAGTGGCACAGTGACATGGTAAACCCTCCAAAAGTGACAGATTGACACAGTGATATTAGTGACAAACCAAAAGTGACAGAGTGACATAGTAAACCCTCCAAAAGTGACAGAGAGTGACACAGTGACATGGTAAACCCTCCAATAGTGACAGAGAGTGACACAGTGACATGGTAAACCCTCCAAAAGTGACAGAGAGTGACACAGTGACATGGTAAACCCTCCAATAGTGACAGAGAGTGACACAGTGACATGGTAAACCCTCCAAAAGTGACAGAGTGACACACTGACATGGTAAACCCACCCTTTGGTCGGCTGTGCGTGGAAGGGACAACTAGGACTGTGTACTGGGAACTGGCTGTGGGGCCAATGTGGGGCGGCACGGGCCGCGGCATTCGAGGAGGACGACGAAGAGGGACGGAGCGACGACGACGATGATGAAAACGATGATGATGGTGGTGGTGGTGGTTGTTGTTGTTGGGAAGATGACGATGAAGAGGAGGCGGACGAGAAGGAAGCTGGCCGTTGCGGTCGCAGATGATTTGGAGGTGGCGAGACCACTCGTCGAGACGTAGGCGAAAAAGATGACGACGACGACGACGATGGTGATGGATTATTTCCGTCGTCGTTTTTGCCGCTGTTTGCTGGGGGAGCCTCTCGGTGAGGGGCGTGTGTCGTAGAAGTGAGGGAGGAGGAGGAGGAGGAGGAGGAGGAGGCAGAGGAGGGAGGCGATATGGCCGTAGGATGAGGCTCTTGGCACTTCTGCTGCTGTTGTTGCTGTTGTTGATGTTGTCCTGGGATCAGCCGGCGAGGGATAATGGGTCGCGGTTGTCGCTTACAGCATGGCCGATACAGACCAACGTCACCACCACCATCATTGTTACCGCTGTTGTTGCTGTCGTTGAAGCCGCTGCGACCGACAACAGCGAACCCTCCACCAACACCAACACCACCACCACTACGTCTACCGGGTCGTCCAGCAGCAGCAGCAGCAGCAGCAGCAGCAGTAGGGCTGGGGGAGTAGCGCACCCCTCCTGATGATGGGGCTGATGGGGTGCTGGAGAATGTGTGTCAGGGAGAGGAGGGGGAGGGATAGAGAGAGAGAGAGAGAGAGAGAGAGAGAGAGAGTGAGGGAGGAGGAGGAGGAGGAGGAGGAGGAGGCAGAGGAGGGAGGGGAGAAGGTGGAGAAGGGGGGAGGGGGGCGAAGAGTGGGTGGGGGGAGGGG